ATTAACTTAATTATAAACTTTAAACATACGGAGCTACAATTTTGACATGTTCACCGGGCCAGTGTTGCCAGTCGAACCGAGGATGCTCGAGTATATTTAATTAAAAGCAAATGAGAGAAATTAAATGTTTAAGTGAAGTGATTAATTTGAGTATATAAGTATGTATCTTCATAAGTCCTTGCAAGCTATCAAAGTTGTGAGAGTATGTTAAAAGCATAACGTTTTAATGATAATTTTTGTCAAAAGAACAAACCAACGTCAATCCTGTGACCATGAATACCGAAAAGTATTTGAACTTAAAAACAAATCACAAGCGATAAATACGGTATTAATTTTACGTGCAATGCAGTTGGTTTTTAGTTTACAAATAACTGGGATTCATCAAGATGACAAGCCTAGTTGAAAGTGCGTTTTGTTCGAGATAATCTCGAAAGAGACGCAAAACAGACACTGAATTAGAATATCGAGTTACGTTCGACCTCGCGGCTCTGCGGTCGGCCTGTGGGCAGACTCGGGTTCGGTTGTGGGGTGAAACCGATATATTTGCAGGTTGCAACTTTTAATGTAACCGTAACGTCCTCAACACAGTTTGAACGGTCAACGAACAATTTTATGACATATATTTCTCTAGCCTTAATAATTTGTCAAATGAATATTATTACCTTAAAAGCAACATAACTTCTTTAATAAAAATATTTCATTCCGGGTTCCAATCAAAATAAAATAGTAATAATTTTATTGTCGTCGATATAAATTTAAGTCGTTATGAAAGTTACGAAGCTATGCAACTAACGGCCGTTCGTTGAATATTGGAACCGGGCATAAATCACAGTAGCTGTACGGGCGTTGAGCGTTACAATTTGACCGTTCATTAATATAGACGGAATATCCAAGCGTCTGGTGGTCGTACGTCACGGGCGTCGACTCTGACGCCTCACTCGCCGCTCTATTAATAGTCTGTCGCCGAGGTTAGCGCCAGCACGCGACTGCCCATTGTGCGTCGCGGACCGATTCATGCCTCTATGCACACACACAGCGGTGCTCGTTGTCTTGGCAAATATAACACACACTCACCCGTATGGCATAGGTGGTAGTGTACCTGCCTTCTGCGCCAGAGGGTGTGGGTTCAATCCCCATTACTGCAAAAGTATTGTGAACATGGTGTTTAGAATTACACGGTGTTTATATATGCATAACATGTATTTATTTACAAAAGAAAAGTATGTTCAGGTAATGTTTATTGGTTACCCAGTATCCATAGTGCAAGCATTGCTTAGTTTGCGACTAGAGAACGTTGTGTAAATATGTGTCCTAAAAGTATTGATTTATTATTGTCACATTTGTCCACCATCATTTGTCCATCAACGGCTGCTGGTTGGCCAGCAGTTAACAAAGGTGACAAGTTAATGTTTTTCTTTTGGTAGATGTAATTAACTAATACGCTCCTTATTATTCGGGTGAATGTCCATGTTATTGAGAGTGCAAGAATTGCAACAACAAAAGCGTTTCACGCCTGACACTCTCAGCCACTCCCTCTAAGAATATCAGTTGAATTATTTACGCCCGGTTTCTGAAACACTGATCATCGTAGAAGTTAACTAATCAGCTGTCAAATGACTTCAAATGTTATTTAAGTTGCCAAAAGGATGGTTATTTTTATTTGATTTAATTATTTCAATTGATCATTTTGATCATTAATAAGATCATTCTTATCAATTCAGAGAGTTTAACCATCCTTTTGGCAACTTAAATAACATTTGGAAATCCATTTTACAGCTGATTAGTTAATTTCTACTACGATCAGCGTTTCAGAAACTGGGTGTTAGAGTTTTGAATTTCGTCTGCTGACATTTAAACAGATACTCGTATACAGTAACAGTGAGAATACAACTTTCCCTCAGATGAGATAGACAAGCGTCTAGAATCTAGACAGTCAGTTTTAGAATATTATCAGAAAATACTGTCTAAATATGTCGATGATTAGGCACCTATAGCTGCTGTATTTATATTTACAGAATGTGTTGAAACATATAGTTATATATATGTTTATATATATAACTATATGTTTATATCTTAACTATGTTTCTTTTAACTTGATGACTCCGTGGCGCAGTCGCCAAGATATTAGCTTCGACGTCGGGGGACGTAGGTTCGATTCCCACACGGGACAACTATTTGTGACCCACAGATAGTTGGTTCGCATCTGGGTGTTTCTGTATCCACGTGAAATTTATTGAAATTTATATTTGTTTGTAAATCGTCCTTACAACACAGGATAATGTTGTCTTAAAGTAAGGGTAAGGGTAATTAAAAAACGTATTGTTTTTAATAAAAAACATAACTAATCATTACCACTTACACGTTCAGTGGCTGGCAGAGTTGTAGAGTCGTGCCAGTTGATAGTAGAGTGCTGGGAAATTTGTATCGAGTTATTTGACACCGAGCCATTAGGCTTCTCGTCTCTGTTTGCTCGTGTATAATATGGGGCGTGAATGATTAAGTCTAGACTTCATGGCCGCTAATTTAGTTACAGCCAGTGAAATATACTATTCTGATTGAGAACTATAGTTAGTTCATTTTATATCAGACTTGAAACCTTAATTTGTTTAGAGTCCATGATATCGCTACAGTCTTAAGAATCAATCAACGTGACTTTGTTTGTTTATTACTTATTGAAAAAACACTTCACAGGAGTGTGACGGCATTCTGGTATAAATTTCACCTTGCTAGGTCCACCCGTTCCTGAGAAAGATGGTGGTGATTTCCAATTTTATTATGGCGGTATAATGGGTAGGTACGGAGCCCTGGGCATACGAGTTCAACTCCCACTTGACCGATTTTTTAAACATTTTAATAGTGCTTTTCGAAGGTTTGACTTTATTCAAACAGAAGTACCGAACCTTGAGGTATGTAACAAGGCAAAAACAAAACTGTTCCCAAAGAGTCCTATTACCGATAGAACCACGCAACCTTTGGATGGACAAAATTACATTAAACTACGATATTTATGTATGTAAATATTAAAAATGCTGTGATTGTTGGTTTGTTCTACTTTCATGCGGCGAATTAGCAATTAATCGACACGTTTCTGTGCACGGATCGTTCTTAAGTATAATGCTAAAGTTGAATTATTTAGCGGCTTCGAATCTCAAGTCTACAGTCCATCTTCATACGTCTTCCAAACGAGCAAAGACTCGAGTGTTAGCCACGCGATATTTTATATGCCGTGAATAAAATCAATAGTGGTGCTATTTTTAACGCATTGACACACTCGCCGGTCACCTCTTTAAACGATACTTTATCGTCGATGGCACTTATCTCTCTCTCTCTCCGTGATTCCGTCCATGTTATATTTTGTTTAATATTGTGCTTTAAAATTATACGATAAGCAAAAAAAAAATCTCTTGCTTTAGTTATTATTAATTGATATCTCTTTCCATATGACATAGTAATTAAAAAATATTTTATAGAGAATATAAGATTATATTCCTACGGACGTAAAATAATGCTACAACCTACTGCTGAGGAAATATGCTGCAATTAGTAACCTTGAATAAATTAAGAAATATATAGTAGAATGATGAAGACAAACATGGTTCATTTGGCGATAAATTAAATTTGTGTAATAACATTCGCTACGATTATTCAATAGTTAGTTTCTTAATATTTTTATAATATCATGTCGAAATATTCTAACATTCATGAGTAGATAGAACGGATTGAAGAAACCGCGGACCGCATAGCGTCACAGTGTGGCAGCACACCAACGTTCGCAAATAAAACATGAGGCTCGGCAATTGACTTTTCAATGGAAGATGGCTTGTCTAGATGTCTAGCCGGCGGGCAGGTCATCAATAATTAATGACTTACCTGCTGTTCGGGCCGAAGCCCTATTATGCAGGCCGCGACAGCTATCCTCTTTACACGGGTAACGGCATTACAATTTACCATAACACCCATAAACGCCCGTCGTTCCCGCTCATTTTCTGTATAAACGTGGACGTTCAAAATTCAAATTGGCAGCCATCGACTTGTTAATGAAAAGATCGAGCGCGCGCTTCTTCGCAACGGAGCAGCCGCGGCCTCGGAACGACGGTTATTGTACAATTTTAGGCGGGGCCTTTGGAAAAGGCGACGCCATTTTTAAACTTTTCGATGTACGACGCGATACGGCCAGTGACTGTTCGCGCGACGCCACCGTTTTCGTTTCGAAATTTGAATCGTAACAGGACGGGCGTTTCGAGAGCGGCAGATATTTAAAAGTTAAGAGATTTGAAACGCGTGATTTAGCGGTTATGTGAAAATATTATTTTTGTTAGGCTTGCATACTGCCTCCGCTCAAATTACTTTTTTTAGCTAGCCCGTACTACTACCTACCATAGTGCATCATTATAACAGAATTCTAATTCGACTCTTTTCACTATACAGACTCTATATGTAAACAGATAATACTTGAGCAAACATAATTTTATATCGATGATACCAAACAATTGATCAAGAACTTTGGTATAATTTTAATAACACCAAAGGTCTACTTTATTTGGTTAATCCTAGGGATGGCAAAAAAGAATTATTGCTTTTAATATTTCTTAAAATATTTAGGATGTAAAGGAATATAGAGAATTGCTAATTGATACTAAGTAAGGCAAAACTTTCAATACGGGCCATGGAAGTTGATGTTCCTCTCTCTCTCTCTAAAATTTAAAAATTTAAATCAACTAGTCCTGGGAGAGAATTTATGAAAAAAGTTTCGCAAATTTCAAAAGTTTTATGAATAATTATTGAAAATAATTCCGGCAACAACGATACTTTGCTGTTGTCGAATATTGAGCAGTATAATGTTATATAACGTACAACATGTTTTAAGCCTGTATTTAAGAAAATACTTAAATTCAATGGCCTTCGCCTTTTCCAGCCAAGCTGAATTAAAAACAAGTCAGAAAGCAAGGAGGCGACGCAAGCGCCGAGTGCGCCGCAACATAAACAATGTTGTCGTGTCACCGGGCGTCGCGGGCGTGCGTCCCTTTCCCTCGGGCCCTCTCGCTCGGGCGGCGAAGGGCCGGCGGCGCGGCGTTGCCGCTCCAGGCTGGGCCAAAGGGCGGGAAACGCGCGCGCACCTCATTGGCCGCGTGGGATTCGGTGCGACGCATCGAATTCAAATCCACTGCACCCGCTCTATGCGCCTGCTCATAGACCACTATTGGTCTATTTGCACTTCCCGAGGCGATTGGTCGAGGTTTTTTTCCCGCCGCGGCCACGGCGACGGTGGGCCCGGGTGCATTTTTTTCGCCCCGAAACGCACCGAAATCGCCCGCGCAGGCCCCCATTGGCTGCCGCTGCCGCTAGGATTCTTTATCTGTATTTACCTGATACAAGTTGCTCGTGGCACTATCTCTATGTACTGTGCTAGCCTTCACACTGTCATATTTACTTTGTGTTTTAGATTAATCTATATTTTATTGTTGTTTTAACTATTTCTATTATGTATTTTATCGAGCTTGAGGCATAACGGTTCGGCAATTTCTGTTAAAAAATTTCTAGGGTTTTTAGGCTATTACATTCAACTGTTTAGTTTTAGGTTGGTAGGGCTATTGTGCTTTAATAATACAATAATATATACTTTTTTCGCTTTCTTTAAATATACTTAGTACGTAAGTAAGACCTGCATGGACCATTCGAGATTACATGTTAATGACGTAACCAATTGAATTATTGTGAAAAATTAAAAAATATATAACTAAGCTTTTTCCACCTTTGCTAATCAAATTTGGGGAATTTTTATTATATTCTTACATAATGTATCAGCCTCTACATGTCCCACTACTGAGCAAAGGCCTCTTCTGTACAGAGGGCATAGTCCACCACGCGGCCCCACTGCGGATTGGCAGACTTCAGATTTTCGTAATATTTTTTTATTATTATTTCGAAAATATGCAGATTTCCTCACGATGTTTTCCTTCACCGCTGAGCACGTGATAATTCAGCACATGAAATTAACACTTTCATTGGTGCCCGCACCGGGGATCGAACTCAGATTACTCGAGTATATTGAATTAAAGACGAGCTCCCGGACACTGAGCTATCACGGCTCTTACTTAACACAAAAATACTTAAATTGAAAAGAATGCTAGTATTGAATGTGGAATTCAATGATTATGTGATTGAATTCATATTCGTAAGTCATTTGAAACAAAAAGTCTTCCAATTTCCTATTTCATACTTAACAATAAATAATAATAAATACGAATATTATAAAAAGTCGACTATTTATGATACTGCTAAATGGTTCGTGTAATTATGCCATCATCACGGTTAAAAAATTCTTGACACAGAAGACGATAATGGCTATCGCAGAAAATTTTTGCACGTCCTTTCTGCTTTTAATCCTTTATAAAATTCAAAAGTTACGGAGGCTGAGGACGAGCCAAGTTTCAAGCTGCAGCTTAAGCCTGACTGAACCAACCAAGCATACTTTTTTGTCCATGCCAAGATCCACAATTATTTTTATTAAGCTAATTGGTACCATTTCCCATTAATATCCACAAAAGCCTCCATGGAGTTTGTATTACTTTACTCACTGGACAAAACACAAACGTGTGATTATAATTCCACTGTACGTGGACCCCCTTAAAGATGGTCCGGGATCAGTTCCCGGGTCGAGCCAGCTTAGCCTTTCAACAGTGTTCCACTGTTTGGCTCTCCTTAGCTTGGCAAAATGATGTAGTCCGGATTTTATAATTATGTTAATCAACAAATGGTTTTATATGTTGACAAAGTAAATCTGGTATATGAAGAGAATCAATAGAGGAAGTTATTTTCAAGCACAGAATAATGTGTAGGTAGAATTTTTGATGATATGTCAGAAAGCTTCGGTGTAGTGTAGTACCTTCATAAGATCCCGTTAGGAAAGTAATTTGCAAGTTAAGTGACATATGACTGTTCGTTGGTCTTTATATAATCTGATGCCTTTACTTCATAAATCGCTGAGTATATCAACCAATTATTTCTTCATTTTCTTCCAGTCATTTTCTCTTGTCATTAATTTTTACCTATAATATATGATCCTATAACTATTATACATTATACAAAGACACGCAAACTGTTTCACAATTTTGTCCCTTATCGAGAGATCGATTTTGAAAACTAGTTGTGACATCACCACGTGAAATTGAAATAAGCATGAGAGCTTTCACATTCGTCGTTACGCGTTTTACTTGATCCAATTAGCATAGGCGTATATAGCAGGGGAGCCGGGTGGTCCATGCCACCACAGGATTTTGGGTTACTGATTCGAAATTTTAAGCTGGATAACTAAGAAACTTCATAAAAACAATCATTGAAAACAAATAATTATCTACAGCCGAGAAATCGATATACATACTTAGTTTTTATTACATACTATTTTACAATACATTCCTTTTATTCATTTATGAATAGGTACTCAACGTACTAACTACTAATTAGTTAATACTACTATTATAAATTAATAAAAATTATCAACAATAAGGAACTGTTACTTCTTTAATGCGACGCATAGTGTTCGATTTTTTTTTAGTAAAGGCTCACCCTGAAAAATAATTCTAGATACACCAATGCCAATTAGACTGATTTGACGCTCACAATTACTTTGGCTTAGAAGCTCGGTTGGATAAGAAGCGACAGGCGCAATTGAAATGGAGATCGTTATCAATTATTTAAGGTTCGACCTGGTGTAGCTTGGAGACCGAATCCTTGGGCACGGTTGCGGCCTCTGGGAGGTCCGCAAGCCGCGAGGGGTAAGGGCCTTCGGTTCGATGACACGCGGGGCAGCCGAGAGGCGATATCGGAGGCAATCACCCACGGACGGCGCCGCGAATGCACCCAGATAACGTATCGGGTTCGCCGACCGAGCGATGCACCCGAACGCTCGTTTCGCAATTAACACCGCGCCGCAATTGCGCTCATCTCATGGAATAATACGCGTGTTGCCACAGCAGCCACTACATCACACGCTCTCCCATACACAAGGAGTCTATCTATGGTAGTCGACCATTGGGAGTCATCAGACATCTCTTGTAATATCCTAGCTTTACTCATGGCTATGACCTTAGACAATTGAACACTGCAGAATGTTACGTAATAATGCGAACTGGTTTAATTTCTGTCTAGTCATCATTCGTATGCACAGAAGTTGTATTGCTTTCATAACTGAATAAATCATTCCTGTCTTTTTTTGTTAAGGATTATATCATTCAAGTCGACCGCAGTTTTCATAGAGCAAAACGCTTAGGTATTGCTAATGCGTAATCTAAACCTTTATTATCTACAAATGATTTAATGACCTGCGCTATTTTAAATCCATCCATAGAATAAAATTTAGCTTTACACATAAATCCCACTAGATTTTTTATTTTCAAAGTCCCTTCCTATTCGATTGTTTGAAAAGATTTCAAAAGCAACAATGCTATGAGAGAAATGAATCTATTTATTTAACTTTTTGGAGAACAAACAATTTCTCATATAAAAATGCTGACCACTCAATAATTATATTTAAGCTAACACTAATTATTCTACAAAAATCTACCGTTCGAGAACTGGTAAAAAATTACAAGTATATTCAGAGTTTTTGTAGAATAATCTAGTTAAAATATAATACAACCAAAGCACATGAAATGTCACGCAAAGCAATCACCTCGGCTGTGAGAGACTGAAAAATTTCTCTCGACAATTATCCATTATTGGAAAATGATGCACGATTCTTCAAACGTTTAAAACTCCATATGAAATGGAAAAAGGAATTGGAATCGTTAAAGTTTTATACTTTTATAAAGAGACTGAGTTATCAAAACCAAAGTTTGAATAATATAAAGTATGTATGCTATAGACATCGTATATCCGTCCACAGGACCTAAAAAGGACCAGGTCTTACCCTCATTGACTTAAGAAGATAAAAACCATTTTAAGACCGAGCCAAATTTGTGTTTCAAGATTTACTGGGAAAGCTCTCATTGATTTTTATAAGTAAAAATATATACTTCACATACGTACAATTGTCGCTTGTTTTTTTTATGTGAAAAATTGCCAAAAAAGCAGGTGGTTCACCTGATGTTAAATGAATACGACTGCCCTTGGACATCTGCTACACCTGAGGGTTTGCAGATGCGTTGACAACCTTTTGAAAATTGAGCTCCGGCTACCTCACCCACCAGACGAAAAGCGAAAGTTTTATACTTCCACTTTACGCCGGTTTTCTGTGGGGTCGTGGTACTTACCCCCACGAGCCTGCAACAGCCGAGGCTGCTGCGTGACCCTACGTCGTCAAAATGTTCTTTCCTCTGCTTCTGCTGGTTTTCTTGTATACTTGCATACAATTTGGACCCTAAACTTAACCTCTTCTTAATAACGATATTGGTAAAGGAAATTTCCTCTTTTTCGCAAACTTGAAATGAATTTGAGCACGAGTCTAACTCCCGGAGGCAACAGCGTTGACAAGAACTCACGCACCCGTATCCCTGTTATCACCATTCCGTTATCTGCAGCTATTGGCGAGCTTCCAGAAGAACCGCAAGTGCTTATCTGCTGCGCCACTTTCAAACCGATAGCGAAGACAATGGTACTGAAGCCGGATCCGTTTTTCGCTTGATGCTAAAGTTGGAATATATAAACGGCTTGCACTAACGGGTGGAGGATATGTCTTCACATGTGTAAAGCGTGATTGTACAGACACTGTAATTGACCTCTTATCCTGTGATTTAAATCTATGTATAACAATTTATTTTAAAATTTAGCAAAGTCCACAATCTAATAAGAGTCCGTGTGCAGCATTAAAGCAAATCAAATTGGGGCTAACATCACTTACTCTCTTAATGTCGCTTACGAGAACAAAGGAATACTTCGGAATTTCCCGAACTACAGCGCAAACTTACGATATTTAGCAGAGTGAATTATTTTATTACCAACAAAGCAGACACCCTTTGTGTTCGTACTAAACTAATACATCAATTAAAATATGTTTTAAGGCTAGTAAATTAACAACACTTAGTTCAACGTAAACTATAACAGAAATGCTAGAGTAATGTCTATGAGAAAGAGGACGTGTATTTGGTGAAAAGAAGGCCTGGAGTCCAACTTAGATATAAGTGATTAATTTAATAAATTTTACTTATTGTCTAATAATTTTATCCTGATTTGTTTTGAACACTTTACAGAGTTCCGTGGGTACAGGGCAGACAATCTGTCTTAATCTAAATTTAACGTGACTGTTTTATCACGTTAAATTAGTTTAATTAAAGTTTAGTATTCGCGTTAATAAAAGAAATCTGTTTGTCCATATCATTGGCATATTTAA